TGGTGTATGATGAGTGGTGTATGATGAGTGGTGTATGATGAGTGGTGGTTGAACAGCTGTTGAATGTCCGTAACACGGAAGTTTTGCACACTAAACTTCCTTTGACAATAAAATACAATTTGCATCCTTATGGATCCTCAGAAGCACTTGAAGACTCAGTTTGATGAACATCAAGACTTCCACAGTCTTGTAGCAGACCTGGCATCACCAGACGAGGAACTACGTAGTCTTCACCAAGTTGCTTTTCACGCGCCACTTGATCAGCGGCGGGCTGCTCTTCTTTTGTTTTGCCCGCCACCTTCGCGGCGCGCCATGCAGTGGAATACACCTCGGCAAACAGAGCGAAGCTGCAAGTTAAGTAGAACCAAGACGGACCAACAACTCAGACATGCTCACACTAAACTTGGTGCATAACTTGCCAGCGAGGTGCACAATGAAACTTCTTTTCCAAATCTATGTTTTGCTTGCAGCTGGCTTGCGCGTAGGTGATGCCTTTCCTTTTCCCCTTTTCTCCTTGTTCTGCACCCCATGCTTGGCAGGTCGATTGGACATAGCCTTGGCCTTTGCCTTCCCGCTGCGCTTGGCTTTCAAATTTGTCGCTGGCTGCTTCTTCACCCTCGGTGCTCTTTTTCGTGGCAGGCGCAACACTTTGTGCTCTCAGATGCTCACACTCACTCTCACTCTCTCACTCTCGCTCGCTCACTCTCTCACTCTCTCACTCTCACTCTCTCACTCTCACGCACACACACACACACATTCACACTCGCACTCACAATCACACTCACACTCACCCTCACTCTCAATCTCACACTCACTCACACTCTCACGCTCACGCTCACTCTCACTCTCACTCCACCGCCACCATCACCACGACCTCCACCTTCATCACCACCATCACCTCTCTGGACCCCGATGCGTCTAGATCTCTAGACTTTCTGCGTCTAGGTCTCTACACCTCTACACTTTCTTGCCGGGATAATTTGATGATCCAACGGGGTGGGCTACCAGACAGCCACCTCCCCTTTGCTGGGAACATCCGCCGGATCCACGCGGAGGCGACTCAAAGTCTGAGAACGGGGAGACGACCACACCCGTGAGGTTCACTGGAACTGTGTGGTTGTTTGCGGGAGTTTACTTCTTGCACTGAATTCCTTCAATCTACATTGGCAAAGTGGTTCTAACTAGAGTAATTAGAGTGGGTGGAGACCAGGTTCTGTAAATTGTAAGGGTCAGCTCCGTTGTAGAAGCTATTGGAAGCTCCTAGTTGGGGTGCACCTCTACAACGCGCGCGCCGCCAAACCAAGTGGGCGGCGGTCCCGGAGAATTGGGGACAAGAGATCCAATCCCAGTAGAGCCCCAATCGAACCGCCATACCAAGCACATCCAACCAGGTCTAAAAAACCGCATAAATATTCCTTTGCACCATCTAGTTCAAGTATACAAGGGGATCAATGGACAGAATCACACCCCTCCTTTTGGGCGGTTGTCATTAGCAGCAGTTGCCAGTCAGTGGCGGGCTACTGGACAGCCACATCATCTGATGGAATGTGCAGGGCGCTGTCAGGCCTTGGTCCAAGACATGGCAAGACATGGATCAAAACATAGTTTTTACACACAAATGTACACCCTGATTGTATACAATCAGTGAAATACAACCAGGGCTCCAATGCTACAATGATTACCCTGGTTGGTGGATGATTATGATTGTACACCCTGATTGTATACTGAATGGTGTGTTTTTTCAAGAATTCCAGTGGATGATGGGATGGGAACCTTTATATAGACATAGTTATATTTATACTAATTCACCGACTGTCGCGGTGATGAGGGCATATGGAAACACCCAAAGAGTAATAGTGCACCCGGTCATGTTTACAAGTTGTTTTGGTTTTGTGTCTTCTGATTCTGTCGGGAACTGTTTGTGAGATACCCCTAGCGCGCAGCTTTGCAGAAACGCTGAGGGATGAGGGCATCGGTGACTTGATCGCAGTGACCGCGTAGACTTTTTCGCAAAACGACCAACAATCATATGGGTGTATATGAAAAGAGACCTCCCAAAGATCCCTTGGAAGAAGCAAAATAGACCCAGATCCCATTGGTTGGGTGTCTCCCTATCAAAATACACAATCATGTTAAGACCGGCCCACCGATCCCGCCGGGCCATCCCCATTGCGAGATGCGCGGTGGCTTTATAGACATCGGATGAAATCGGCATTCTCGGGGAAGTCCTCGGAAGTTCGATCTGATGTTCCATGGGCAAGATTACATAAGATTCCTTACTACACCAGCAACACTCCACTTCGATCAGGGGCCCTCGAAGAGAAATTGGAACAACGACCAAGACCCGAAACAATCCACGGTGCCAAAATGACCTCCCGTGCACCTCTGGGTGTAACAAAATAAACACGATATGTTCAGCCTGAGGAGTCTCTGCCTACATCTTCCTCGGGATTTGGATGGTGGTCTTGCTACCTGGCAGCAGCTGACAGCTACGACCTAGCGACCGATCCAGCAGATCAAAACGAGACAGGCGGTGGAGGGAACCTTTCTCTTAGAATCTTGGAAGACTCGTTGAAGACCCTTTCTGATAGCGTCACCCCGTGGCTGAAACCAAGAGGAATGTTTGCCAGAAAACCATTTGATGTAAGGCACTTGGCACCACCTGGTAAACACAAAGCACGTCAAAGCATTGACAAACAGTGGGATCTCCGTTTTTGAGATGGCACAAGATGTTTTCCTTCAGGGGTTTATTGTTTGTTTAAGGCTCCGCCAACAGCAAACTTGGCCTGAAGGACACTGGGACAACTGCCTGGCGGATGCTCTAACACTACCCTGAATTCAAAAAAAGGCCCAAGACTGCTGAATGGTGCTCGGAACCAGCCAGACCCCTTCCCTGCGTGTGCTCCCCGCCAGATTGTTGTGCTTGAACTTGGTAGGTTTGTATGGTGGCATATGGTGGCTTTTGGGTGTGCAAGCATTTGTTCAGCATGTCTAAGCGAGGTTTCACTCCACTCCAATAAGTGTTGCACCTGATTCAAGTTTGGTTAGTTTGGTGGATTGGATTCCCACATACGTTCACAGCCAAAGAAGACACCAACTCCTTGTCACCCTGCTTCACACTGAGCAAAACTTCACCAACCGTGTTTGATTCAAAGAGAAGAATACCTCACCAGAGCAGAAGCCTCGGATCTTCCATGCCTGGCCCGAACGCCACACCACTCGCCCTTAGTGTGCGAGAGTCGCCACACCTTGCCCACTAGTATTTTTTTGAGGTACCACATCGCCCACATCATTTGGCTGGAGCGGCATCGCTTTCAGCAAACACAGGCAGCCCACCAAGCCGGTGACGTGGAGGCATTGCGAACACTGGCGCCGGTGGCGAGCACCGCGGCGGTTTGGTGGTGCAGTGGGGATTTGCTCAGCAAGTTGCTGGGGTCAAGACGAGTTACAGGTAGACATAAGGCTGGAGGTTTCGCCAAGACTTGAGTCGAGACTCGGCTGTTTGGAACGGTTGGTTCCCCGATTCGGCGGGAGGCAGAGATGTTGCAGATGTTGTGGTTTGTCTCACCGACTAGCAAGGGCAAACCTTGGGCAAGCGGCAACCGGACAAACAATTTACATTGATGGACAAATCCTAGGTCACCCAGCAAAACTATTGAATACTGTTGATATGAAAGCACCACTGCCTCTTTATGAGTAATTATAGTTTTTTGTGGTGAAGGTTACGGTCGGCTTTTCATCAGATGGAGATTATCCAGGCTGTCATACTATATCGCCATTATAATGATGTTCGTGCCTTTTCAAGTTTCATACATTACTGTCAAAGCATCCCGGTGGATTCTATTGGCCATGTTCGACTGAAGGGGTAGCCATGTGCAGGGTCATTACCCCAACCCTGGGCGCTAATCGCATGCGTTCTGTCGCCTCCCTCCGAGGCTTTGTGATGTATCTCACGCCACTCGGTAAACCTGTGAGTCGAATGAAACGAAGCGTCATGTCTGCGATGTCTCCAGGCAGTTCACACAACTCTGGAAAAGCGAAAGTCGAAGAAGTCGAAGTCGGTGATGGCCACTCTGAAAATCAAACAGAACAAATCTCCACTGGCCGAAGCCCAACACCGTCCTCGGCCTCATGTTTTCTCACCTCGGGTGACCCCCAGCACAGGAATCGGGATCACTTAGGAGGTCTTATTCCGACATATGCCGCAGATGCCGCCGGAAGAAAAGAGCATGGGGAATTGTTTCAAAGTGCATCAGAGCTTCGGCTTTTTGACCAACAATCGTCAGCCATCAAGTTGAGCTAGTCAGCAGTTGGCGGAGCGGAGCGTTTGAGACCCCTGCGACTGCTAGGTATAGATTTGGACATTGGTATGCGTGGACCCAGGCAGCATCTGCTACTGGGCCGCAGCAAAGCTGGGAGCTGGCAGCTTTCAATCGGAAATGAGTGCTCAAATAAGGATTTTGACCGCACTTATTCCCATTGATGTTGTCTCAAAAGGTTTTTTTCAGGATTTGCTCGGAGCTTCCAATTAGCTGCATGGGCGGAGGGAAGCTTTGGACAGTCGCTTTGGTGCTGGTGTTGGTTCAAACAAGCCAGAATTTGATCAAACAAACCTGCTTGTTTGGACCAACTCAAATCTGAACGTGTTGAGACATGTTCAGACCATAAAAGAGTATCCCTAAATGTCAACTGTGTGCGTCCAGTAGAGCTGGAATTGAATCTTCGCAGGTGAAGGTTCTCCTCGTCCTGTCAGCGACGTTGTTGGCACCTTGGATGGCAGATGACAGAAAAGTGGGGATGACTATGGATGACTGGATTATCCGTGGCAAGTACCAATGGGGAAACGTATCCCGTGGTCTGGCTGAGAAAGGCTCCACCTTTGACCAGGTTTCGGCAGTTATCCTTGTTTGCTTGATGGCGAGTGCGTAGCCGAGATCAATGGTTCTGGCGTCCAGCCTACTTTCTTGGAAAGCAAAAGAAGTGATAGACAATAGAAGTTCTGGGCAGCTTGCGGGGGGCAACTGAGCTTGTTAACTCACAGTACCAGTAGCTACCCGAGCAGTTTTCATCTCACTCGACGTCCAGGGCTTGTACATGTCGGGGTGTCAGTCTGCAGGACAGTTGGGTTTAGTATGAGAGGTGTTCGTCATCTCTTTCGTGTTTTGAATTAAGATAGCTTCACTGCGGCAAAGGAGTGATGAACTGAAGTTTCCCGCCAACTACGCAGTGGCAGATGGTATGTAACATCGAAGCACCGAAGAGGTGACGAATGCACAAGCTAATGACCTCCAATCGTGGCTCATTGGCTGGAAACCCATGTTGTCAGCATTGTTTGGCATCTTCTTGCAAGACTGTCACTGCCTTTTGCACCAAGACAGAAAGGAGCAGATGATCAAAGAGACCTTAAAAACAGCTTCTTAGCGGTTAGGAGGTGCAGCTGGGGAGACCCGGTTTCCTTTTCCTGCAGCATTCTTGTTCATGATTCACGAGCAGTCTTATTGGTGTCCACTAGAGAATGGGATGGCCTTCCTAGTCTTTTACCTGGCTACTTTATTCTCATCAACTGCAAGAAGCAACACAAAGTGTTTGTTCTCTCTAGAACTGCTTCCAAAGCTTCCATTGTGCCCTTCCCGGCCGCAAGCGTTCCATTGCGCGTTCGCGCGACACGCGCGGTGCAAGTGCTTTCATCGCAGGTGGTGGGTGGCATCGGCCATAGCGCTTTGTCTCAGGCATCGATCCAGGAGTGCCTGACCGGGTAAGGTTTTGATATTAAAGATCGGTAGTTGTTCTGGGGTGCTTCTACAAAGAAAGGGTAAATGAATGACAATGATGTTTTTCACGGTCGAGGAGGGGGTGGTGGTCATGAGGTTGTGAACAGGTTACATCGACAGAACGGCCACTAAACATTCACCGCCACTCCTTTTCCTGCCCTTTCCCCACCTACTTGGTCTTCCTACATACTTGGGTCTATCTTCTTGATCCAGAAAAAGCCACCAATCAGCCAGCACCACACCTGTGCTGCCCACCTCTTGCCAGTCTCCAAGAACCACCACACCTCCCAGTTGTCCCTCCGGTTCTCCACCTTCCCCCTCCGCGGACCGCTGCGAGGAGTCGCTGTGGCGCTCGTGGATTTGGATCGCCGACCCCGACGGCGGCGAGTCGGCGCTCCCCGGCGGCCACGCCGTGGGCGTCGTGGTCTCCATCGGCCCCTCGGTCCGAAAGGACAGACGGTGCGGGGCGGGCGACGCACCAACAAACGGGTGAGGTGTGCAGTGGCGGGAGGGGCGCAAATCTAATGGAGTTCTGAGAATCTAAGAGATTTGATGAATCTTTAAAGGATTTGGTGAGATTTGATGGGCAGTTGGAAAGGAAACTTGTATTACCTTTTTTACGGTAGAAAAGCAAAAGTTGGTACTGTGTGGGGTTGCTTGGACCAACGACAAAGTAGGCGCTGGTCCTTTTCTCTTTGGTGGAAGATGCCAGGTAAACAAGGATCAGATGGGAAGCTGTGGGAATTCCTGCTTCATGTTGCGCAACGACTCCGTTCTTTGAATTTGTTGGAAAAGTTCCCAATCACCCCGCCACCCCGCGTCACCATAGACAGTTTGCCAAGAAAGACGATGCGAGGCAAGATGCTGCTCTTGGCAGAGCCAATGATGATTCATCCAAGTTAATCCCTTGACATTACCAAACACACCCATCTACTCAAAGAGTCTAAAGTGCTATGGAATGTTTGATATTGGGGGAACGTTCGACTCATAGAAATTGACCAGAGGGGTACAAATGCTGCTTATTTGTTGTGCCGGGCCATGTTCCATCCATCTAATCCGTACCGTTTCGATCTCTCAACCTGTCAAACTCAGCCCTGCCAAGCCAAGCACAGTCGTTCTTCCCAAAGCCGCTCGGTGGCCTCAGGTGGAATGCTGATCTTCGCTCTGCTCTTGTCGTTGATCACTTCGGCCTTCGAAGACTTCCTTTGGCAGATTCGCCATGGCTCCATCCCCGTCGTCGAAGGCACGACGGTGGACGACCGGGTTCGCCGGTGGACCAGGTGTGGAGTAGAAAAGAAAATGGAAGATTCTGTGAGTCACGAAGGGATGAGTGTAGAACATTCCTATTACTTACTGTACCAGACCAGTAGTCTTTGAAGATGTCCTCTTGTTTTGAGTATGGAGACTGCAACTCATGCCCTGCCCGTGTGTTTGTTCTTTGGGCTTTGAGTTTGCAAGGTGGCATTCTCCACTCTGCGAACCTGCCACACGGCCTGTGCGGCCACCCGTTTTTGACGCCACGTCACCAGTATTTTCTGGTGCCGCACGTCGCATTAATTTTAGCAAACTGGGTTTGAGGCGATCACATTGTGATCCTGGGCTATGAGCGTTCGGCCATTTGGATGATCGAGGACCCGGAAAAACGGCTCTCTCCAACACCAGACATCCGTAAGATTGTCATGTAAGTACATTGTAATACGCCTCACACAGATTTGTGTCGTGCCAAATGCCTTGGCATGATCCTTGTGAGAGGTTTTGGGCTCATATCCAGTCCCACGTCAATCCTCTCTGTGTGTGAAGGGCTGGTGGTGTCACAGCTCAGTGGACCGAGATGGCTTTGCGGCGCCATGCGTTTGAGTCGAGGAGCTTTGCTGCGCCATGGAGACCTCCGGCGGAGGGCTCATCGCCATTCTCTCCACAGAGGCAGGTGGATGCTCGTGTCACCAGCGACTGGTGTTATGTGTTCCCATGAGCCAAACGGGATACAGTGATACTGTTGTAGTTGCTGGAACGAAGTTGAGCAGATGAATATGGACTGAGGAAATCTGGGGGACATGCCCGAATTATCCTGATCGCATCCCAGAAATTCCACCCGGTTTTGCAGCTGTTCCGTTTACTGTAATTACAAAGACATGTCCTTTCGCATGAACGTCATCCAGTCATCCTTCCAATTGATTTGATGTTTTCCCTTGCCTGACCTCCACTCCACCACAGCTCGGCAGCCCTCAACGTTTCTATCAGGGGAAGGCAGAAGTCGAAAGTTGGATCCAACATGCCGACATCGACCTGCACCTTGGTCCACATCGAAATTCTGTGAAATTCTCGATGTGCACGATTTTCTGAGTATGTGTTCTCGACGACGGAGGTTTTTCCAGGTCGTTTTTTCAGGGCTCAGTGGACATGGATGGTTTATAGCAGTCATGGAACATGTAGAAGCACATGAGTGAGGAGCGGCTTTAAGCAAGAAAGTTTCTAATGCGAAGTGCCTCCTTCATGGTTCTACCCAGGAAGATGAGCCCATTCCATCCAGTGTGGCTCCACATTCAGGCTGATTCTGCGGATGGCCAAGCCAATCCGAGGCGCAACTCCTCGGTGGTGGTCCGGTCGGGGCTTCCCTACAATGAAGAGGAGGGGCTGTGGTTCTGCTTGGCTGGACTCCGGCAGGGCGAACTCTTCTGGAGTCGCGGGAGTTGGGTATTCTTCCTCTTGTCAGACCGTGGCTGTGAGAAGCATGGGACCAAGACTGTGAGTTGACAGAAGGAAGTCTAACTCCAATTTGCCCAGAGGTGGCGAACTCCGACATGGAGTGAGCCACTCCAAGCAGAAATGATTTAACGTGATTTGCGTGAGGAATTTGGAATTCGCTCTCTGATGGGTTTGACCATTTCGACCATTTCGACCATAGGCCTGCCAGCACGCAGGAGCTTCGTGTTTCAAGTGCTTCGTGTTTCGTGAGATTTCCGGATGATGCACTCCTACCCCGGTTGGTTCGTTTGCCTGTAGTCACACTGTCGCCTGTAATCGGTGGGATGGTCCCAAACTGTGCGGAGCGGCCGTTCTTCCAGGACTTGACGCGAGTGGCTGCCGGGAGACTGAGACGGAATCCCTCACCTCAACGGAAGACCCGGTTGTTTGGAATAGAGATAATAGAGGAGACTGAGACCCAGAAGACCTTGTGGGAGATACCCAAGATAAAAGGATGCAACAGGATGCTCAGGGAACTCCAAGCAAAAGTGCAGAATGGAACTCTAAGATGTTGCAACAAATTATGAAGTATATATTTTGTCTTTCTGACACGCAGTTTGACCCACGCTTCCTCCAGCGCCGCTGGGTTGACGTGAGGAAGGCCTCTCCTCCAGCAGTTGTTTACATGTTTTCTGGTGGCGCGAGTGCTTGATCCAGGTACTTTTAACGATTTCCAGCTTTCAACGGAAGCGGCAGAAGGCAGTGCCACAGAAAATCACCGAAGTGGGACACCTGTGCCATTGAAGCATCATCCCACCACCCGCCCATCCACCCAAGACGATTGATGCACCGAGGTGCAGACCGCGCGGCGGATCGTGGTGCTCGCGAACCGGAAGATCTCCCGGGAGGCGCGGTGCAGGTGCGGGTGGGGGCGTGGGTTGTTTAGGCCAAGGATCTGTTTGTATGCTTTGTGGCAGGAAAACCGAGAGAGCACACGTGTTCTTAATGACAGGAGCCTTGCAGTTCACCAAGAAAGTCGACCACTAACTACACTGATGCAGCGTGGCACGAGAACAAGGCCAGTTTGCTGCTAAACCACTGTGTTCTGTTTGGTCTTTCAACGTTTTTTGTCGTCCAACAGGGGGTTGATCAGTCCATCAGAGTTCTGAGGTCGAATTGGGGCTGGACGTTCTTGTTGCAGTCTTCATGGGAAGTCATCGAACAAAATTTGGGGTGCTCGTGGTTTGACCGTCTGGAGGATAGTGAAACACAGAAAGCCTTAGGCCATCACCTGGAAACTGAGCTCAGATGCACTTCCTCCCAACCAAAAAAGCATTTAGTATATTGATTTATGTGTGTGTACATATGTATATACACAACATACAAATGCCAAAGTGGCAGATTCACAATTGCAGATAGTGGGTTTGTGCGAAGAGTTCTGACAGTGGTGCAGACTCCTGCAACTCATGTTTAGGAAAAACGACTTTTGAAAAGCATGGATACGAACGGAAATTGCATACTCTCTTGTTGGTTTCAGGAGAACAGACTACAGTTTTGTCTCAAAACGAGTATATATATATACATAGATCCTTGCAACTCTTGTGGGACAAGATGTAGGATTCTCTCTTTGAGACATGCCCCAAAAAACCTTATAAACTCGCAAATAAAATAAAACGGACCAAAGCGGTGGCTGCTTTCAGCCGCGTCCCATACTCGGACCACGTGATCGGCAGGAAGCAGATGCCCAAACGTTGAATGTGCTCCTGACCTTGCAGGGCTTGGACTACACAAACTCCAAGGACCACGCGTCTTTGGACTACCACGCGTCGCTTGCCGACGTTTTCTGGCGTGACAGTTTCTTTTGCGGATCATTTTGCCGCCCGAAACCGCTATGGTGGAGGGACCTTCAAGAATGAACGCACCACCATGTATTATCCAGATGGGGCCGTGAGATAATTCGAAGACGCTTATAAGCTATAATGATGTTCATAGGTCTTCCATCAAGCAGGGAGGAGAACTGGCCCACAGGAACCCCACATGTCTCATGACCGATGGCCTCGGTTCCTGGCTTCAGCTTTCGTCACAAGTCTCACCCCACTGGATACCTCCATGGCTTGGGCGGTCGTGGTTCCATTCCTGCTGATTTCCGCGCACGGCTTCTCTACGCGGGCAGAGTTGAGAGAAGCCCTGGTTCAGCCACTCGGCCTTTCTACCAATGGTGGCAAGCAGTTGCAACATATCCAATGTTGACACTCTTCAAGATGGACACTGAGGCTGAATTCTCGGGTAGACTAGTAGTCCTTACCCATCAATCTTTGCAGGGTTTAAGATTAGAGCTCCACAGTGGAATAACAGCCTCAGTGCCACAAGTTGGAACATCTCAGGTGGCATGATGCAGACGAGGCTACCAGGATGCAGCTGACGTCATTATGGGGAGCACCTGGTGAATGGAATGTCTCCTCCATCACCAATATGAGCCTCGGGCAGAGCCATAGACTTTCCGCCCCAAGCAGATTTTGACATCAATGATCCTAGGTTGTTGGGTAAATCATGGTAAAACATCTTCTCGTACCGAGTTGTATCACATCTTCTCTTCTCTTTTGGGGTTTAATCCCCCTAAACCATTGCGCTTGGGTCTTGGTCGGGCCACCCTGGAAGTCATCAGCTTGGGGTCACACTCCTACGCTCACGACTTGCTAACCATGAGCCACGAAGGAACAAAAGCAAAAGCAGACAGCCTTCATTGAAGAGAAAATCAATCTGACACAGGTACTCTATTGCATGGAAGCAGCATGGAACAATTTTTGGCATCACGATGATGTCTTGCAGAGCGTGATCAGGAGATTCCAGGATTAACAGAAGGACTAGTACTGTAACAAGTAATAGGATTGCTAGGACACGTCACTTGCAAGAAGGTCACTTGAAACTTGAAACCACAAAAAAGAATCCATGAAATGGAGTTCAGGAGTGGCCTCTTCGAGGGTTTGGAGCGTTTCAACGAGGACATCAGTGCTTGGGAGACCTCACAAGTGCGGGACATGAGTTCGATGTTCCGTGGAGCCAAAGCCTTTAAGATGCCCATCGGCGCCTTGACAAACAGAGAGCTGAGAGGACGGAGAGCTTCATCGTAGGGCCAGCAGGTGGGGCGGCCGCCTTCAAACATGTGGCTGTGTATGTTTATGCAGAGACCCCCAACCAATGGGCTTTGGTTCACTTCCTTTCTTCCAGGGGATCGAACTGAATGAATCCCTACTCGAAGACACACCCATATTGTAACTTCGTCAACACAAAGAGGTGAGGCAAGGCAAGGTCAAACTATTGTGAACTGAGTTTCAGTTTCTTACAAGCGGAATCTTCTTGAACAACTTCCATGTTAAGAGTGCCAAATAGAAAAGAACTTCTTGAGGTTCCCATGTTAGAATAAACTGATGATAAGCCTTGTGTACCGTATGAAAACAGCATCCCAAAATCGACCCCAAAAGGAAACACCTATCGACCCCAAAATCCGTACCGGATGTTCGACGTTGGGATGAAACTATGCTGTTGCTGTAGTGAAGCCATAACGTTGGCAAAACACACTGAATACGGTGTTTAGAAGAGTGTTGTTTCCACTAAACGCTAAAAGCGCAGGATTTTGGCCGCCTTTCATACGAACGAAGAATTGAAGATCCGCACAACCGCACGTTCAGTTCCCTCAAAAGAAGGGAGAGTGAGACTGCCTGCGACATGAGTTATAAAGAGAGAGGAAGGGAGGGGGAGAAGAAGAGAGAAGAAGAAGACTAGCATGAAGTACATCAACTTTTGCCGGTCAAGGAGCTTGTTTTTGTGAACCAGCACTTGCTATATATATCTTGTTGTTTCTCATGGCCAACAAGAAGCCAAATCAAGGACTCGCACTGTCCGTTCTTCATAGAGGAACTTTGAAAAACAAAAGTTGGAAATGCAGAGACCCTCCAATATATGGTGATCCTCAAAAGAGAAACAAATCCAATACGATTGAACATGCCTAGGTTGGTCTATGTTTTGTTGTTGCTTTAGCTGCCGTGCATGGGAGCCACTCCGGACAATATCCGCCCTAGATAACAAGAGGTGCCCACATCTCATATGCTCGCCAGACACTATGCAGGCACTTGGGACACTTCCAATGTCGCGAATATGAAAGATATGTTTTCCCATGCATGGTCTTTCAATCAGCCTATTGGTGCCTGG